TTCCAAGAGCTTCTCACATTGCAAATCGTTCCAACACCCTCCCTCATATTCAACCTGTTACGCTCCGATCCGAGAGACCGATATGATACGCCTCGGACGCTCACCACCATATGTTCCGACCTGGTAAAGACCCGTCCGAAGTGTTTCTGAAGTGATGTCAGCAATACCTGCAACCTAGTAGTACCTGACCAAAAGTACCTCGCCCCCGAAGACAAGGCCGAGACCAAGTGGACTCCGGTTAGATGATTCGCCGCCAATTTCAGAAAGAGATTTATGCCAAGATCTTTCCTGTACCTAAGGTTTAAATTGATTTGACGTTTCCATGAGGCTAGATGATGTGACTTATCAACTTTATGTCAATTCAACTCATAAGAGACAAGCTGTCCGCCCACTCTACAGACACGGCTGATTGACGCCTATGAGTGAACACCTCATACCGTCAGATGTATACACGCGTCCCACATCCAATGGCTCATACCACCTATAAATACCCAAGGTTTGGCAAGAGGCAAAGGTAATGAAAATCTGACTACATAGCACTCCACAACAAGCTTATATATTTTCTCCTCCCCCATTATCATTGATTTGCACAGCCCCTGGGTACTGTTCCGACCACTTAAACCTGACTTGACCATCGGAGTGTATACGGCCGCCACCACCCTCGTTGGTCCCGACCGTGTGCATCTGACCGTTCGCTGATTGTGTGCAGGGAGGAATACGTGGAGTAGCTCTCTATTGGCCACGTGGAAGAGCCATTTTTCGAGGTCAACAGATTGGCACCGTCTGTGGAAAACACTTCCCATTCGAAGTTTTGCATTCTCCATCGGAGAGGTTACCAGAAAACTAGCAACGAACCCTGAAAAGGAAATATTCTTGAAAAAGAACAAAGTCGAGTTACAATTCAAGTTCTCACTACCCTTGAAAAAGAGATAGGATGAGCTATAGCCATGAAGACGACAGCCCCATGAGAGAGGCCTCTGAAGAAGAGGTACTCCATAACAATTTTACTCATCAGAGACCACATCACCGGCGTCGTCGAGGTGGAAGAACAGCCATACTCACTGAAGGAATGGCTCAGATAGCTGCAGGTATGAGAGACATCACTGAAGGAATATGGCAATGCATGAACTCCTCATGCAAGCCCAGGGTCATCAGGGCTATCAAATGCCCCAAGGATCTTATCCGGTGCGGGAAGCCCCTGTATCTCACTCCCGAGGCCACATGAGTCGGCACACGAAATGTCCCCTCGAAAGGGAGATGAACGCCGAAGCTACATCTTATGTGCAAGGGAGTCAACCATCAGAACCACGCTTGGGGGACAATTTCCCTCAAGAACATGAGGACCAAAGGTCGGTAAGCATCTTCGACTGGATAGGGGAGGGTCCTAGCAATAGGGTCCGCCCAACAAGAGGATTAGTTCGTCCAGATCACAAACAAGAACATGTTCCCCCTCCTCTTAGAAATAGGATAGATAGGAGGAACCTAGTCGATTGGGAAAGTCGAGGAGAAGCACTTCCACCTCCCCAGAACATCCAAGACGATGAAGGGTCAGATGGGCCCTATCGATCTTATGAGATTGACGATGATGATGATAACCTCCTGTTCTCAAGGGAGATCCGAAGCTTCCCAATACCAGCAAATTTCATGCTCCCTAAGATCCCCAAGTATGAAGGAAAGGGGGATCTGGAGAAGTACCTCACCAAGTACATAACACAGATGAGCCTAAGGGGAGCCTGCCTACTTTAAAATGCAGAGCCTTCCATTTAACGCTAGGCGGGGCTGCCGAGGTATGGTACAGCAGGCTTCCTCCCCTAAGCATCAGAAGTTGGCCAGATTTGAAAAAAACATTTTTGAACCAGTACCTCTCACGCAGGGAAGGAGAGACACCAGTGCAACGCCTGCAAGATATAAGGCAAGCCCCTGGGGAGACGCTGAAAAGCTATCTCGCCAGGTTTATAGACGAAATCACCTACTGCGAACAAGTCACTGACAGAGAATCCCTTTCAGCCTTGAAAGGTGGGCTTAACATGAATACTTTGTTCTGGAGGGATGTGCGTAGCAAGAATCCCTCCACATATGACGAGCTAGTGGAAATGATGAGAGTGGAAATTTTTGGTGAAGAAATGATTGATCATCGCAATCGTGCGGCGCAGGGACTCCCTCCTCCTCAGAGGTAGGTAGGTCGAGAACCCGCAGAACACCATGTTATTCAGCAATGGACCCAAGCGGGTCATACAATAGCCCCCACATCCGGACAGGCCCTGGCTTCTGCCATATTGAATGCAGTACCGGTATTGACATATGATAATGCCCCTGCCGAAGCGGGACCATCTAGAAAAGCTGATAACAAGAAGAAAAAGAAGAAAAAGTCAAACAGACCCTTGGAAGGGACAAGGTTTTGTACGTTCCATCAACTCTATGGACATGACACTAGTGAGTGTCGAGACGCCAATCGACGTCCTGACCGAAGCAACCCGCACCCTTCCATCAGGGACGAATACCCTCGTAGATCCGCCTCCCCGAGAAGGGGAGGGAGAGGTCACATGGAACAATCTCCTCGGAGAAGAGAATCAAGGGACCGAGGTCAATCAAGACAGGGAAACCAAGCCCAATTTTCTGGAAGCCGGGTCATCAGGGAAATTGATACTATCATTGGGGGACCCCACGTCGGTGGCAACACTAGGAATGCCTAGAGGAATTACACAAGGGAAGCAAAGGACCCCCCAATGATCATTTACATTGTCAATGAATCGCAAGCAGCAGATAGGATGACCCCAATCACCTTCTCCCAGGAAGACTCAAAGGGGGTTCACCACCTTCATTGTGATGCATTGGTTGTAAGAATCATAGTAGTTAGAAACGGATTAAAATGCATGCTCGTTGACAATGGCAGTTCCATGAACATATTGTTCGGCTCTACTTTTGACAAAATGCAAATTGAACATGGCTTGATCCCCATGACCGACCCACTATTCGAATTCACTGGGGACATCATCATCCCACAAGGGCGGATCACCCTGCCTGTCGAAATGGGTTCGGTACCCCTAGTGGTCCAGCACTTCATGGAATTTCTGGTGGTAGATCACAGATCAGGTTATCATGGAGTATTGGGCAGACCCACTCTAAAAGATCTTTGGGCTGTCACGTCCATCCATTACTTGTGCATGAAATTTCCAATCGAACATGGGATTGCTACGGTCCGAGGTGATCAGATGGGCTCCAGGGCATGCTACTTAAACTCGCTGCGAAAGTCCGAGCCCCGAACTGTTAATGTAATCCTAACTGAGGTACCCGCTGAAGTCAGTACGGACGTGAAAATGCTCGACGCCCCTGAACAAGGGCATACCTCTGAACAAGGGGGAGACGTCGACATGGAAAAGGTCCCTGAACAAGGACACCCTCTTGATGAGTTAGATTCCTGAATAATTGACTCTGAACCAAATGTGACCCCAATGGAAGAATTGGAGATTTTCCCCGTCAATCCAGAAGACCCCAGTCAAGTCTTGCGTATAGGAAAGTCATTGTCCCCTGAAGCAAAAACAGAGATGATAAGCTTCCTGAAAGGGAATCTGGATGTCTTCGCGTGGAAACATGAAGATATGGTGGGAATAGATCCTAGGATCAGTTGCTATTACCTAAACATCAATCCCTCCTATGCCCCCCATAGACAGAAGAGGCGTGCCCTCAATCCGAAAAGATACGAGGCACTGAAAGATGAAGTAAATAAACTTAGCCGCAGTGGTTTCATAAGAGAAGCCATCTATCCAAGGTGGATATCCAACCCGGTCCTGGTGAAAAGCCCAGCGAAAAGTGGAGGGTATGCGTGGACTTCACAAACCTAAATAAGGCGTGCCCCAAAGACAGTTTCCCACTTCCAAGAATAGATCAACTTGTGGATTCTATTGCTGGACATGAACTACTGAGTTTCATGGATGCAGACTCAGAGTATAACCAGATACCCATGTTCCGACCTGATGAAGAAGCTACATCATTTATTACGGACAGGGGTCTATATTGCTACAAAGTCATGCTCTTCGAATTGAAGAATGCTGGAGTCACGTATCAGAGGTTGGTCAGCATGATGTTTGCCGAACTCATTGGCAAAACCATGGAGGTCTATGTGGACAACATGTTGGTCAAAAGCCTCCAGGCAGCCGAACACGTGAGTCACCTCAACCAAACTTTTCAGATACTTAGAAAGTATAATATGAAATTGAATCCCCTCAAGTGCACCTTTGGAGTGGCATCGGGCCAGTTCTTAGGGTATATTGTAAATCAGAGAGGAATTGAGGTAAATCCAGTGAAAATAACGACCTTGCTAGAAATGAGGTCACCTCAAAAATCGAAGGAGGTCCAAAGTCTCAACGGTCGGATTGTCGCACTCAGTCGCTTCATCTCCAGAGCCACAGATAAAAGCTTGCCTTTCTTCAATGTGCTGAAGCAGGGAAAGCAATGGACTTTGGAGTGTGAAGAAGCCTTCGAGGCTCTGAAAAAGCACCTTGGAGAGGCGCCCCTCTTGTCAAAACCTCAACCGGATGAATCTCTACTCCTGTATCTAGCGATTTCGGACGTGGCGGTCAGTGCAGTCCTGATCAAGGAAGAAAATGAACGCCAACTGCCAGTGTACTACATCAGCAAAGCACTTCTCCCAGCTGAAACACGCTATCCAGACATGGAAAAACTGGCACTAACCCTTATCACAGCCTCAAGAAAGCTGAGGCCATACTTTCAAGCCCACTCAATACAAGTTCTCACCAATTTCCCACTAAAGCAGGTGATACAAAAAACAGACGCATCAGGACGCCTGCTAAAATGGGCAATCGAGCTCAGTGAGTTCGATCTAACGTTCCGGCCTCGACACACAATCAAGGGCCAGACCCTTGCTGATTTTATGGTTAAGTTTGTCAAAGCCCCAGAAATGGAGGCGATAATGGAACCAGCCGAGCCCCCCCATGAAAACTGTTCGTAGATAGGTTCTCAGGAGAGCCTGGCGCAGGGGCATGGATCGTATTGGAAAGCTCGGAAGGCCACAAGCTAAATTGTGCAGTGAGGTTCGATTTCAAAGCCTCGAACAACGCTGCTGAATACGAGGCCCTTTTGGCAGGTCTTAGACTTGCTAAGGAGATGCGGGTCGAAAGGCTCCAGGCGAGCAGTGACTCTCAGCTTATAGTAAATTAGGTCAATGGAAACTTTGCAACCAAAGATGGTAACATGATTGCGTACTTGAAGTTAGTTCTGGACATAATTCCTCATTTTGAAAGGTTCGAACTGACTCAAGTCCCCCATCTAGAGAATGCACATGCAGACGCCCTCTCAAAATTGGCTAGCAACATGGACTCAGAGCTGCTAAACGTAATCCCTATTGAGCACTTATCAAAGCCCTCCACCTCCGAAGGTGAAGAGATACTATGGATAGAAGGCACCCCATTATGGATGCAGCCTATCATCGCGTACCTGAAGGAGCAGACACTGCCTGCTTCCAGAGGCGAGGCGAGGAAGTTAAGAAGAAGGGATACACACTTTCTCTTGCAAGAAGATACCCTTTACAAGAGAGGCTTTGCCTCGCCGCTTCTTCGATGCGTAGGAGGCGAAGATGCCACATACATACTCAAGGAAATCCATGAAGGAATATGCGAAAATCACTCCGGAGGAACGGCTCTGGCACGCAAGGTTCTCCGCCAAGGCTACTTTTGGCCGACCCTGAAAAGGGATGCTTGCCAGTTTGTCTAGAAATGTGACAAATGCTAGCGCTTCTCGAACATACAAAGACAGCCTGCTGAGAGCCTCTCCGTAGTAACCAGCCCCTGACCGTTCGCCAAGTGGGGCATTGACTTCATTGGTCCACTCCCAAAAGGGAGAGGAAGTGCAACTTTCGCCATTGTCGCCATTGACTACTTTACTAAGTGGGTCGAGACTGAATCCCTTGCCAAAATTACCAAGGCTAATAATACCAAATTCGTGTGGAAAAACATCATTTGTAGATTCGGCATCCCCCACTCCTTAGTGTCTGATAACGGAAGGCAGTTTGACAATAGGAAGATGCTAGACTTATGCGACGAACTGGGCATAAAGAAGGACTTCTCGACACCTCATCACACCCAAGTGAATGGAAAAGTTGAAGCAGTGAACAAGACTATCAAACACACCCTGAAAATGAAACTTGATACCTCCAAGGGGGCCTGGGTTGACGAACTCCCCCACGTCCTCTGGGCTATCAGGACTTCTTGTCGGACTGCAATCGGTGAAACCCCATTTTCCATGACCTACGGAGCCGAGGCCATGAGTCTGGACGAAGTCGGGGTCCCATCACATTGACGGATACATTTCAATGAGATCAGCAACAACGAGGCTCGAATAAGCGAACTACACCTCCTTGAGGAAAGGAGAGATACCTCCCAAGTAATATTGGCAAAGTATCATCAAAAGATGACCCGTTATTACAACTCCAAGGTCAGAAATAGAACTCTTCGCCTGGGCGACCTCGTACTCAGAAGAGTTTTCCAATCTTCAAAACCAATCGGGTCAGGAGTGTTTGGCCCGAACTGGGAAGGCCCTTACCGCATCCGCAGGGAATCCCGACCTGGTACCTTCGAAATCGAAGATATTGCAGGAAAGGCGCTGCCTCATCAGTGGAACATCGAACACTTGAGAAAGTACTATCATTGATAAGACTTTGTTCCGACCCAATCTCAGTATGTTATAATGAATCGATTGTTCTGATCTGATCTTAGTTGTAAAATTCCTTAAGTGCTGGAATTGCCTTAGTAAAGGGTGGTGTAATTTATCTTAAGTAATAAATCTTCGGTTTCGAGCCACATCAGTTAGTGAATAGTTTCCTCAGTCCTTCAAAAGTTTTATTTAAGCAATCCGATCTTCAATTATTAGCTACTTAATGTTAAGTGGCCCGTTTCATATTAACTTAAGTGGTCCGATCTCAAATTATTAACAGGTTAGCATTAAGAGTCGCTTCATACTCGCTTAAGTGATTAAACTTATATTAACTTGAGTGGTCCTGTCCACAGCTATTAACTGGTTATTGTCGCGAGACAATTTGTCTGACGCTTGTCATTCATACAAGTATGAACAGATAGAAAAGATAAAAAAAAAAAGCAGAAGCGTAAATACTTAGAAAAAATTTCATTTCATTGAATAAATTTAAAGTAAAAGGAGGTCGAAGCCATTACAAAAGGTAACCCTACTCTGCTGGAGGGGCTTCTACATTGGCCGCTTCCTGGGCCTCCGGAGCCTCCTCGACAAGCCTATCAGGCCGACCTCCAATGAAGAGATGTCCAGAGTGGGGTGCACCTCCTTCAGTCGACCCAATAAGCTTTGGGCACTCCACGAGGCCCAGAAATTGGCGAAGTCGTCATACAGGGGATGGTCTTCGAAGTGGTAAATGATGTTCTGGACTGCCACCTCTCCTGCAAACTTCAACTCCTCCTTCGAAGAGGCAATCTCCTCTGATTGAGCCTCTGCCTTCTCTTTGTTGGAGGCCTCCAGAGCCTCGGTGGCGAGCTTGTAGTGCTCATTGGCATGATCAAGCCGCCGAGTCACCGTAGCCACTTGGCACTCCACCTCGTACAACTCCTTCTTCAGCCGTTCCACTTCTGCTTTGGCAGCAGTTAGCCGGGCCTCAGCCTCCTTCTTCCCCTCCTCAGCCTGCGTGACCTTGGCCTGGACCGCTCGCACAGCATCCCCGTAGTGCATCGCCTTCTCGAGGCGTTTGGCGAGGTCCTCCCTCTTAGAGTTCAGATCATTCACTAAGCCCTCAAGCTGGATGCTTGTACTCAGGGCCCGAGCCACTCAGGCGCTGTTCGCGGCCACCAAATCCTCAGCTGTGCAGGAGGCGGTGTGGTCCCTCCACTCCTCTGTCCAGTATTTGCTGTGGACCACCGCCACCGCAGCTGTCTCTGGAGGAAGAGCCTTCAACACTTCCCTTACGGGCTCTTCGGGATTGGTGCCCAGAAAATCGACCTCTTTAGAGGGACGAGGCCTCTTCCTCTTCTGCTGCCCCGACACTTGTTCAATTAGCAATGCAGCGAGGGGGGTTGTGGCCGGGGCAGTGGCAGGCTCAGTTGGGGCGGGCCTTTTCTCTGGAATGGCCACCCCGATGGGAATTGTGGTCTGTCTCAGAGCTGGGGGTGGCCTCGCCACAGTTGGGCGTTTTGGAGGGGCGGCACTCTTCTTGCCCTTCCTCCAAAGGTCAGCCTCCGGTACCTCCTCCTCCGTCGGAGGCTGAAACCTCTTATTGGCTTCCACCAAATCCTCCATTTGCTTTTTGTATGAGGAGGAGGAGACCTTCAACGCTCATGCCTCTACCATCATCTTCTAGATGGTCTTGAAGTCAGGGCGCACCGACATCTTCTTATTAAAGTTGTCTGCATAGAGCTAATAAGGAATTAGTACAAGTCTTGAGAGTTCGGAATAAAAAATAAAGACTTCGCTCCGGTTACCTTGGGATGCCATCAGATCGTGAGTAATGAAGTGGATGTTCTTTCGGATCAGCCTATGGTAAGACCTCTTCTTTTGAGGCAGCTGATAAATGACACAGATGGTGTCAAAGTCCTCAGATGATAGCTCGTACCGAGGAATAGCACCTACAAAGGAAATATAACCGTAAGGCACAATTCGAACCAAAGAGAAATATAAGGAAAAAGTATTACTATACTCACTAAGTGTTGAATACTTTGTCGGGACTGTAAGAGGCGCCAGGGGGTCTCCCTCCATCGTGTCCCATTACCTTGCGGCCCAGCACCACGAGTTCTTCTATTCTTTGATGGAGCTTGGCAGATCGACCATGAATAAAGTGTGGGAACCCCATGAAGTAAGGTAATACCATCCCCGGGTCTTATCCCCCCCGACAGTAACCTTAGGTATATAAAGGGTCTGGAAAACGGAGAGGGGCATCTTCATCCCTAATGACGCCTCTTTCCACAACATCCAGGAGCCCACCATTTGGCTCCAGGAGTTCAGATTGAGCTGCGTCGGGGCTAGCCCATACGATCTAAGCACCATCCTAAAAAATGGGTGAACTGGCAACTTAAGTCCGGCCCTAAGGATCGCCTCACTAATGGCCACACAGCCCGGCCTAGGGTAGCAGGCTCTTTCTTCCGGCCCGGGGAGGATCAAATCTATATTATCAGGGATCCTATACTCTATCCTAAGTCTCTCCAGGTCGGCCTCTCTTAATTTAGATGGGTAGTCCGACGCCCCCCAGTGCACAGACGTATCTGCTGGGCTATCCGGTCGCTTCCATATATTTTCACCCCTATTATTATCCCAACTATTTCTGAGGAGGTCGTCACAACGGGCTCGTCCACCTCACTAGTTCTAACCCCCTCCCCGAACCAAAACTTCCCTTTGAGGCCATTCTTTCAAAATTTAAAAGCCCTAAAAGGTATGAAACTTACGAGTTTGAAGGTTTTCCTAACCGAAAATGGTGTAAGGTCGCTGGAAGTTCAATTTTCTCGCCGGAGTTGCTTAGAAAATGATGGAAATCGCCAATTACGTGAGAGCAAAGTAAAATGTTTGTTTCGCAAAGGTAGAAAGCCTGAGAAAGCCTCAGAGTCCTCCTTTTATAGAAACACAAATCTGATCTCCACCGTCAAATTCAAATGCGATCAATCTAAGCCGTTCATCGCATCTTCAATCTAGGCCGTTGAAATGAAACGCCAGATTTGATCTACGTCCAAGATGTCGCTATGACATTCACGCTTACTTAAAACGAGTCACCTCGGTTACAACCAGTCGTCAATAATAATAAGTAGCCGCAGTAGCCTTTTGGGAGAATGGGCATGGCACCCAACTGTTATCTTGGAAACACACAACAGTTGTCAAATCATTTGACGTTTGAATCGCCTCAGATCGAGCTCCTCACTCAACTTTACAAAGTTTGGACGCACCTGACGCGACGCCCCCTGTGGGTCATCGACTTGGATGATGCGTCCCCTCCCATGCTTTACAAAGTTTTAGCCATCTCCCAACGCGTCGGCCCTGTGGCTCAGTACATCGGTGGCAGATGAACTCCTCACTCAACTTTACAAAGTTTGGACGCATCTGACGCGACGTCCCCTGTGGGTCATCGCCTCGGATGATGCATCCCCTCCCATGCTTTACAAAGTTTTAGCCATCTCCCAACGCCTTGGCCCTGTGGCTCAGCGCATCGGTGGCAGATGAGCTCCTCACTCAACTTTACAAAGTTTGGACGCAATCGCCTCGGATGATGCGTTTCCTCCCGTGCTTTAAAAAGTTTTAGCCATTTCCCAACCCGTCGGCCTTGTGGCTCAGCGCACCGCTGGCAGATGAACTCCTCACTCAACTTTACAAAGTTTGGACGCATCTGACGCGACACCCCCGGTGGATCGTCGCCTCGGATGCTGTGTTCCCTCCCATGCTTTACAAAGTTTTAGCCCTCCCAACGCGTCGGCCCTGTGGGTCAGCGCACCTTACGAAGCTTTGACGCACCTGACGCGCCATCTCATGACGATCACCGCCTCGGACGCTGCGCACAGTAACGAAACGTTGGCACATCTGCCTCAGATCACAACCTCGATTACTGCAAAAGATCAACCCCCAAGCTCCCACAAATCGCAGTCTGGTCGGGAAAGCAAGTCCACCCATGATATAAATATTCATACCTGGACTTCGGGGAGCACTGTTACGCTCCGATCCGAGAGACCGATCTGATACGCCTCGGACGCTCACCACCATATGTTCCGACCTGGTAAAGACTCGTCCGAAGTGTTTTCAAAGTGATGTCAGCAATACCTGCAACCTAGTAATACCCGACCAAAAGTATCTCGCCCCCGAGGCCAAGGCCGAGACCAAGTGGACCCCAGTTAGAGGATCCGCCGTCAATTTCAGAAAGAGATTTATGCTAAGATCTTTCCTGTACCTAAGGTTTAAATTGATTTGACGTCTCCATGAGGCTAGATGATGTGACTTATCAACTTTATGTCAATTCAACTCAGAAGAGACAAGCTGTTCGCCCACTCTACAGACGCGGTTGATTGACGCCTATAAGCGAATGTCTCATACCGTCAGATGTATACACGCGTCCCACATCCAACGGCTCATACCATCTATAAATACCCAAGATTTGGCAAGAGGCAAATGTAATGAAAATCTGACTACATAGCACTCCATAGCAAGCTTATATATTTTCTCCTCCCCCATTATCATTGATTTGCACAGCCCCTGGGTACTGTTCCGACCACTTAAACCTGACTTGACCGTCGGAGTGTATACGGCCGCCACCACTCTCGTTGGTCCCGGCCGTGTGCGTCTGACTGTTCGCTGATTGTGCACAGGGAGGAATACGTGAAGTAGTTCTCTGTTGGCCACGTGGAAGAGCCTTTTTTCGAGGTCAACACAACCAATGATGTTGATTAACGACGATGATAGAATCTCATATAACAAGTGACAAAAGGCAGCCTTAGTTGGCTTAACATTACCTGCAAGAAATTAGGCTCAATTGGGCAAGAGTGATTGAATTATTATTAGCCCTTGGGGAGTTTATTAATTATGAACACAGGAGTGGAAGTAAATTTCATTTTATTTGTATCTAGTGGTCAATCTTCATTTTTATTGACACCCTAGATTGATGAAAAATGGGAATTGTTTATGAAATTCTTTGGGACTATTATTAATTATCCAATATTGTTTGTGAATTGCTTTTATGTCTTGACTCCATACATATTCTTCTCGAGTTTGATCTTATTATCAGCACTTAAACTATAGACTATAGGATCAAACAGTCACGATATGGCAAGAATAAGAATTATTTCTACCAAAATCAAACATATAATTAAAGGATCATAGTTTACACCGGTTTTTTTGATAGTAAATACAAAGTTCTATAGACAGCCAATCACAGGCCTTCCATACATATTTTACACTATTTTTCATCCGGGCTTTCAAGATATAAAACCAAGTCTTCCATGCATGCAATCCTAAATTGCCACCTTCGGGCTTCAATCAATAGCCAATCAAAAACATAAACAAATCATCAATTTTTCCTACCACTTATCAAGCATGCCCCTTATCCTTTCCATTCACTTTGGCAGTTTCCTATTCCCTGCCAAATGTCACATTCAATGAAATCTCAATGTCTTATTTTTCAACTATTAGAGCTAGACTCACAAACTTGCTTGACAAATCTTCGACTTCCTCAATAGTTGTAGGCCTCATCGCTTCATTAATAATACTCAATTTACCAATTGATTCTTCATTTATGATCCAATCGAAATATCCACAATTATTATTATAGGTTTTGAATAATCGTCCTTTGTTATTGATCTCCCTTTCAACCTCAAAACATTTCTGCAATCTATGTGCACACCTTGGACATCACCAACATTCCTTTCTCTCATCCCGGAAGTAAGTCAACAACAAAAATCAAATGTCATTATTACTCAAACTAAGAAAATGGCGAAAAATTCAAGATCTCTTCAGTAGTTTTAAAAGCTTAGAATCTCAACAACTCCACCCCTTTTCATATATTCAAAATAGCAACACATATGCCTTTAGTATTCTTCTACCAATACAGAACATGGCAAGCAAAATATCTTCTACCAATCTCACCAATTCCACTATTTTTTCACCACATTGTACACAGGATATGGAATTTACGGAGTAAACGAGATAACAAGAAACTTACCTTAGGTGTACAGTGTTTACACGATGTAGACAATGTGTTCTTAAGTGTTCGGCGTTGTTCGGAGGTGGAGATGAGTGCACCAGTTGTATATCAGTACAGTTGTCGTGGACGATTGCACTGAAGGGAGGTAGAGAAGACTGTGGCGATTTGTGAGGAAATACCAGGAAATGGCTCAATTACTATAGCATATTTGAACATTGACCTTTGACCCATTAAATCAATAAAAAAAAAAAAGCTAAAACAAAACTTTGCACACAAAAAGTCGATATTACCCTTGAAGCAAACAAACTGTCTTGGAAAACTCTATAACCGACGGAGTCAAAAAATCGACGGCACTGTGCAAGGAAAACAGTCCAATCTCCTACCGGCTGAAACCAAGCGACGCCACAATAATTCCGACGACGAGCAAACACCATCGATCTACCACGCCGCCGACACTATTTTGGTTAGTTTTTGTGAGAAATTTCTAGTTTTTCCATGTTTATGATGAATTGAATTATTTTTTTACGTTTATGTGGTTTAATTAGATGAAAATATGTTTGAGTAGATAGATTATTGGTCATGATTGAGTGTATTGTACAATTTGTGGACCTTTCCTTAGCTTATTAACAGTCGGCGTTAGATTGTTAACAGTCGGGTTGACTGTTAACGATCTAACCCGACTGTTAATAGTTGGGTTAGACCGTTAATGTTTTTAAAAATATATATATATATATTTCCAAATATACAAGATTAATTTTCTTTATAATTAATTTATTTTAATTTGACTAAATAATAATTATGTTATTTATTTAATTAATTTTTTTTACGCTATTTATAATTCCAATTTTTTTAATTTTTTTTATATGAATATATAAATTAATAAGAATTTAAAATTGATAATTACCAAAATTAAATGTTCCTTTTAACCAAATTAGCAAAATATTTTTTTCCTTTCCTTTCCTTTTTTTTTTTTACCAAAATTAAATATTTGTTTTATTAAATAACCAAAGTTAAAAAAAATCTTCAATTTTTGCAATTTTAATGGAATAATATTTATATACTTTATCTAAATTTTATAATTTCATTTTCTTTAAATTTTTTATATATATAATCTAATTAAGACTTTTAAATTGATAATTACCAAAATTAAATGTTCGTTTTAACCAAATTAGAAAAATAATTTTTTCCTTTTAATTTTGTTACCAAAATTAAATATTCCTTTTATTAAATTACCAAAATTAAAGAAATCTTCATTTTTTTCAATTTTAATAGAATAATATTTATATTCTTTATCTAATTTTTATAATTTAATTTTCCTTAGATTTTTTTATATATAATCTAATTAAGAATTTTAAATTGATAATTACCAAAATTAAATGTTCCTTTTAACCAAATTACCAAGATAATTTTTTTGTTTTAATTTTTTTACTGAAGTTAAATATTCGTTTTATTAAATTACCAAAATTAAATAAATTTTCATTTTTTTTTCAATTTTAGTTGAATAATATTTATGTATTCTTTATGTAATATTTATAATTTCATTCTCTAAAGTTTATATGTAATTTTAATTGATAATTACGAAAATTAAATATTCCTTTTAAACAAATTAGCACAATATTTAATTATTTTTTTTACCAAAATTAAAGAATTCTTCAATTTTTTTCATTATTAATTGAATAATATTTATATCCTTTATTTAATTTTTATAATTTATTTTCTTTAGATTTTTAATATGTGTAATGTAAATAAGAATTGTAAATTGATAATCTAACATCTACATGTTAACATTTTGGTTCGATTAATGTTCCGTTACTATGTTTTATTCCGTTTTCCATTGTACAAAATTCTAATATTCGATTTTTTGCAGGATGGATTACCATCTACACGCAGAGTTGAGGCAGATACCGGGCAAAGCTACATGGAACAGTAGTTTCGACAATTTTACTACAGTACTGGAGGTGCTGGATGATTAGCACGCTGATATCTTATGCCAGTCTTTCCTCTGGTCCCTGTATCAGTTGAGGGAGGTGCATTACTCAAGACATATCATTGAATTTATATATAATAATTGTATGTGTTACAGATTTGGCCGTATGATATTATCCTCGTACTCGGTGCTTGCTTTGCGAAGCGACTGAAGACACGATGCCCTTGGATGCATCATTGGCGAGCATCCCAAGCGTACGGGTGTCCATCTGCGAAACAGTTATTGGCTCTCCTAGATGACCCTCATGTAAGTATTAGACGCTTTGTAGTTTATATTGTGAGCTAGTTTAAAATCTCATTACGCAATCGTTAACTGAGTTGAAAACATAATGTCAGGTTAAGGTCATCACTAAGTAGACGTCATCGATGGAGGAGGAGGGTCGAGAGCTGGTGCGAGAGGTGCGTGAATTTCATATAATTTATTGATTAACATTTTTTATGAGTTAGCAATTTTAATTATGTTAATAATTTGTAATGTTATTTGTGTAGGAGTACGATCCAATTGATCAACGATCACCTTCGCCGAGGGCATTACCTCCTCCCCCATCGAGGCCTATCCCTGGTAGATCTCCTGCATACAGTCAGGGTTATGGGATCGATGATCTATATGCCCACTGGATTGGATTCATAGCCGATATGGAGCAACAGTTGATGGGGAAGGTCACGATCTAGAGTGACGGTTGATGGGGAGGGTTAACGACTTATCCTACGATGTTACACTGCTACATGGCCACGTCGTATCCCTTCAGGATGAGGTCGCAACGCTTCGAGATGATATTGCGGGTAGGCGATGGACTGGCAGAGAGGGTGACGTAGAGGGAGGTCACGTACAGTTTTGGACAGACGATGCGTTAGAATCATTTCTATTATCTGTGGAGCGAGATCGAGGGGCCCGATGGAGACGGAAGAGGCGGCGGTGGAGAAAAGGGTGAGGGAAGAAGGGGTGACGGAGGCGGTGGGCTCGATGGGGACGGGAGAACCGGTCGGAGAGGAGGAGAGAGTGACAGAGGCAGTAGGCTCAATGGGGATGAGAGAGCCGGTCGGGGAGGAGGAGAGGGTGATGGGAGAGCTGGCCAGGGAGAAGGAAAGGGTGGCGGTGGGCTCGATGGGGACAGGAGAGCCGATTGGGGAGGAGGAGCTGATGGAGTTGATGATTCCGAGGCTAAGAAGTATGCTGTTGCTGTGACGGAGCAGGCCGATTGCTGTGACGGAGCAGGCGATCGGCAAGATGTCGAGATTGTCGTTGCAGTACGTCGTTTCTCCTTCCACGGTCGAGACGAAGAGAATGAGGTTCGTTGATGAGACAATTCCCAACCTATGATGGTTAGACTGACGGGCTTGACTGTGAACGACAGATTAGCCATCATGCGGGACACGACTACGGCGAGGCAGACAATATCGTAAGTGGTTCTACTTTTTTTTTTTTTTAAATTTAATACTTAATTTTTTTCTGTACGGTAAAGATCTAACTCATTATTGTTCAATTGCAGGGGCGATTGCGACATTTTTACAATAAAATATATCGAGTTTTTGTGTATAGAACATAAGGTTGATGGAATCAACCAATTCTGGATGCAAATTTGGAGAAATAAGTTAGCGTGCAATTTGTGATACTTTAATTGTGATTCGTAAATATTATAATTATTTGATTTTTTTTAATTACGAAATGATTGTAAACACTGTGAATATTGATTTGTACCTTGTGAATAAATGTAATTGTCTATTATTTTTTGTATTTAAATGCTTCATCTACAATATTAATAATATATGAATATTATTTATTTATGTAAATAATAATTGATTAAATAAATTAGAAACAATTAGTTTCATACATGGTGAATATTAATTATAAAATTATTATTCATAACGAACTAAAAATAAATATTACATAAATAAATTGTATTACACATCTGTTGCATTGTTATGCAGCGAAATCTGGCTTGTACAAAATTGTCGTGTATGCCCAGTTGCGCCGCACCTACCACACTTACGAGATCGGGGAAATTCTCCAGTAGACGATATTCTAGACGTACGTCTACGTCTAGGGGTACGTGGTCCGACTTCTGGTGGCAACAAATTATTCAGTGACAGAATGTAGTCGAGAACTTCCCATTCGACTTCGTTTGGTACAGGGAATATTGTTATGGCATACGATGCTCTCCAATAATTAGTCGTATAATAAACACTGCACAATGTGTGGTGAGAATTCTCTGTGCATAGCCACTGCTACTGCATGTGCACGTGGAAAGCTCTCTAACTGAAATTGTCTACACGTGCACGTGCTACCATTCAAGTCCATAATGTATCCGAAATTACGTGCACATCTCATGAAGAAGCGAAACTGATCTAGTGAATCTACGCATACTTTTCTCGCCACATCTAGAGTCTTGAAAAGTTTATCTTCATGAGCCAGGGTGAGCACACTTGTACAATTCTGTGATTCCTCACGTCGATCATTAAATCACTATTGAAACTTGTCACGAATGTTCTCAATCATTACGAGAATTGGTAACTCTCGATCCTTCTTGAATAAGGCATTCAGCGACTCCGCATTGTTCGACGCCATCATGTTGTATCGATATCCTGGAAAATGTGATCTTGCCCAATGTTCGATCCCCATGCCTGTTAGATACTCCCATACAGCATGTGATTTATTGTCTATTTCAACCATGAACTTCTCAAACTCTTCAAAACTGTAAGCCTCTGTAGCTCTCGTGAACAATGCAACGATGCCCTTACTAAGATACTTGGTCTTCAGGTTTCCCTATATATGGTACATACAATAATCATGAAGTGTCTCGAGGAATACTTTAGCGATACCGTTTATTATTGACTGCCCTTGGTTGGTTATGAATGCAAGGTTTTCGATATCCTCAATTACTTCATTCAACTTCGTGAAGAACCAATGCATCGCTCGATCATTCTTTCCATCGACTATGCTGAATGCAAGAGGGTAAATTTGGATGTTGGCATCTTGAAATGTTGCAATAATCAATTTGCCCTAGTATCTAGCCTTAAGAGTTGTACCGTCGACAAGAATTAGAGGTCGCATCGCATTTCGAAATCCTCGAACGTATTGTTCAAGGGCCATTAAGAAATATTTGAAGCGATTTTAATTGTTCCTCTCAATAAAAAAAGTCAATCCAGTATTAGTTTTCTCTATGTTATAGCAATACCTAGCAAATATAAATAAATAATAATCAGAATAAGTAATCAAATATTAAATAAACAAAAAAAAGCAATTTAAATATATAATTAACAATTAAAATAAATATTAAAAAATCAACTTAATAATAAAATACGTGCCCAATTTAGCATAACTCTTCTCAGCCGAACCCATTAAGTCATTCAGTGCGCATTTTTTAGCCTTCCAAACCTTCTGATATCTCATGACACCCCGTACTCTCGATGGATATCATTAATGATGTCCAAAGGTCTGTAGATCGTTCGTAGGTCTTGAGATTTGTGCATTATTTCTCGACCAATGAACCATGCTCGAGCTTGTTTGTGATCATTTCGATGAATACCCACTTCGCAAGTATGTTTCCGTGCATACTTACGAATTATAAAGAACTCGTTTGGGTCCATTTTCATCACTTGCAAACGCCAGTGACAACTTTCGTCAATGCAGACGATTGTGTACGCCGACTTGTTCGATTTCTTAACTTTAAACTCGAAGTTGTGTTTCAAAGTAATCTGGTGCATAGCTTCCTGCAAATTTTTCTTTGTTTCGAACAGTTGTTCGACATATAAATCTTCGTCATCGAGAACTAACCACGAACAATTATTGGACCGTGTACTCGGACAAGCGTGTGAGCTCTTACCCGACTCACGTCTCTGGAGGGATAGAGCATTCAAATCATCATTTGTGAATGTATTTTCATTCTCGTTGTCTTCAACTGTTGAGGGAATTCTGTGCGTAACAGTGAGATCATTCACTCTATTGGGAATAACCACATTGTCCTCATTAGCTATCTCCACTGTATCCAAAAAATCATTCACATTATGATCCCCTCCATCGAAATCTTCATGCTCATCCTTAGGGACGTTCTTCTCCACCAAAGTTACACAAATAGGAATCGAACGTTTCTGGTTTAATTCAATTAAAATCTGCATTTCAGCTTCAGAAGTAACTGTTACAGGTGGAATTTTCTTGTTGAATAGAAATCTCAATTCTATGTTGAATTGAGAGGGATCGACGTTGAGCGAGTTCTATAAATCATTGTACATTTCCACATACGATGTACTTGATGTTATTAGAATTGCAGTAGAATCGCGTCTTTCACTTGTCCATTTCTACACCCATTGATCATTTTTCTTCATTTCAAATTCACCAAAGAAATAAACGAGACTGCAGCCGATGCCATATCTGCATTAGGAAACGATGATTTATTAAAAAAATTGTTAATACATGAAAAAAAGAAGTAAAAAATTGAAAACAGCAGACTGTTTTTACTAATAGCTTGCTGTTTAGTTGGCTGTTTTCTTAATAGCCGGTGTCGATTTTGTTTTTCGATTTTTTAGATGAATTTTTTTCATCGTTCTTGCTAAAAAAAATTATAGATCCATTTAAAACTGTAAAAATTTATTTGTCCATGTCGAAATAAGATTTAGAGATTCAAACAATATACTGATTTAGCTATAATAAAATGAAAAATTTGTAAAATATACTTACCAATTTCGAGTACTGGTTGTGAATAATATTTTCTTTTTGAACTTTTGATAATTTTGTGAGATCCTAATGTTGAAGCAGATGAAAATTGAACTTTCTTTTTATCTGTGTGTTGCAAAAATTGATAACGAAACTGATTTGGTTTTGAAATTTACGTGAGAGTGTTTGTAATTTATTTGTTATTTACTGAGGGGTATCATTGTCTTTTTAACAACCATATATTTTTGTAAATACAACACATAAAAAGGGTAAAATTGTCATTTACATTTCAAAGGGCCATTGTGGTAAATGTGAAAAATGAATTAGTCAATGTGACAAAATGGTTATTTAACTTTGTTAATCTTAAAAGTACCTCCATTTGTAGGGTTTCAAATGGAGAAACTAGGAATTAGATACCTAATGCTTTTTCCTTTTCCTTTTTTGTTTTAAATAAAGGGACATGCGACGTCACTTTGTGAAACATTCGTGAACTATGTGTAGAGCAATTGTCATTATAAATGTATAGTGCCCACCTCATTTTAACCAAAAAAATTATGGAAAAATGCAATAACGAATTTTCCTAACTTGCCAGAGGAAAATATGCTATTTTCACTCTCGGCACAACAATAAGTTGACGGGGTAGGTCGAACTAATCATTTCCAATTTTCCGACGTCCAATTTCGGGAGAAAAATGTTATCAACACCAGGGATTTTTTACCGCTCGTATTTGGGTAAAACGACTCATTAGGAAAATCATGAAATTGTTAAGGACATTTTGGTCCGCATATTCAAAAAGTGGCTATTTCTTCAAACTATCACGTGTAAATCATATTTTACATCATTTTTTTACATTGTGCCAATTTAAAAAATAAATAAATAATTTTTTCACCAATTAAATTTTACCAACTCAGATAATATTAAAGATAATGTACACTTTTAATGTACAAGTAACTTTTCCCTACTTCAAAAACCAACAAAAGGGCCAATTAACCAAATGGCTATTAAAAAAAGACCCTTTGTACAACTTCCTCTCGCGCATATTTCAAAAGAGAGGGAGAAAAGGGTCAAAAGAAGGGCTTTTCCAACTTTTATGTTGGCCCAACAAAGTTGTAATGATGACATTTGCCACCTTCTATTTCTCTATTCAATTTTAGGGCTTCTTTGGTCCTTTCTTTTTGATTAAAGAGTTTTCTTATTATCCTAAAAGTTCACAAAAAAATTAGTATTTCCCCACATTGTCGATGTAACAAAAAATTATTTTGACTTCATGCTATGGACGAATGTGCAAAACATAATCCTTACCCATTATGACGGTGACAGAGAATCCATTTACTTGATATTATCAAAGCGATGATAAGACTCCTAATCAAAATTTGATTTATTTAAGGTTTATAACAATTCCCTTTCAAAGAAGAAAAATCACTCCATATTGTAAGAGAGCAAGTCCCACCACAAAAAGAAATAATAATTGGTGGTTGAGTAAGAGAAAAAATTTTGAAAAAAAAAAGTCGGAAAAACGAAAGCAAAAATGCAAAAATTAAGTTTTTAATCTCGTTTTGTCTAATTTAGTTCAGTGTACCAAAACATATCAAGGTAACGCGAAAGCGAAAATTCTAATAATCCTTATCTAATAAGGGTAAATTGCACT